ACTTATCTCAAAGGAAGAGCATCAAGACACAAGATAGGTGTAGTACTGATATTATATCAAGGATAATTAGATGAGATGAGATCAATTTGAACAAACACTAAGGGTAACACTAGTGTTGAAAGCTTCTAGTACTGGTGTTATTGAGAGCTTGAGTAAGAATGAAGAGAAAAGATGAAGGAACAAAATAGATAGCACCGGTGCTAAAGACGCTTAGCCAAAACAAGTTCTAGAAAAAGATTTTTAACACTACGTACAATTGAAAATCTCTACCATAAGAATTATAGTTAAGTCAAATACTTAACTAAGGTTAAGTTAATTTTAAAGAATATAATTTATGCTATTACGAATAAGCTATTACTTAAGTCAGTTTTAGCTCAATGTTTAGCTAGTTTGATTTTTAGTTAAGATTAGATAACCTATAAAACACAATTTTCTCTTTATTTTGTAATCATTAACACTAAGGTTTAACAGAAGCAAGTGATACCCTCACTAACATTGAGGGTATTCTTTATGAGTTCATCCATAACATAGTCGCCTCTCATTCACAACATTCAACATGAGTTTCCTAATCACTTTGAAGCGTGTTCTTAACCTCCTAAAGGAGAAGATAGTCAGGGTTGTTATCTTCAATTTCATGTTGCATCAACTCTACTGCCTTTGAGCTATCTGTCTTAACCACTACTCTTTAAAAGTGCAAGTCCCAAGCCCCCTTAAGACCCTAGACAACCTTTTGTATCTTAGCTTACAAACTACTTCTTGTCCCAATATTATATAAAAAGCCACCTAAAACCTCTCCATTATGATCTTGAGTAATACCCTATATGTCGCTCGACAAAAGCTTTATCCACTTTAAATGTGATAAAGCCCTTCCCTGAAGCTTGCCATCTTGCCTCAATACTCTCTTGAAACATATTGCATGTTAGTCTCGTATCAGACCAAGAAATACACACTTATATTTAAGCCATTAAGTCAGAGAGCTTTATTGTATATTGCTTAAAGACTCTGAGATTTTTATTGAGCCAAATTTGTTTGCACACAAGTGAAATCCATATCTCCTGCTTTATACCTTCCAGTAATTTTCAAAGGGACGGGTTCCATTCAAACCAATGTTATTGATCTCTTATAGAAAATAAAATAAATTGAAGTCCCGATAGCGCTAAGATCTACCAACAATGTTGAGCCAAGGTACAGTATAGGAAAGTATGGAGCACATCTTCACACTTACCATCACCAATAAGCAGTTCTCTCTATTACTGATACCTTTAGTTGCCCTATAAATGTTAGCCAGTAAGCAATTCTTCATATAAAGCCAGAGGAAAGCCTTACAGTATTATGGAACATTTAGCTTTCATATCTTCCTCTAAACACTATGTTAGTGAGTTACCTCCGATTTACAAATGCTACTGTAAGTAATTTTGGTAGAGAACTCATCATGTGATAACCACCTCTACTTGGGTTTGTCAACGCCACTCCAATCTCGGAGTGAGAACTTTCCAATGGCACTTAAGACTTTCATCCAGAAATAAGCACATAGATGTTATCAATTCCATCCTCCGAAGGGTGTAAATATGTTGCTACACTATCATTCATCATTTCCTTTGGTATAACTCTTATAGTATGCATAATTAAAATATCGTAATGTGGGACCTATGAGTTCATCCAAAAGCAAACTCTGCTATCATCTTTCATATTCCAAGCCAGACCTTTTACCATGTCTTCCTATGCACTATGAATCCCTTTCCACATTCTAGACTTGATCCTTCTTGCCTCAATTATGGGAATAAGGTCATTCCCACATTTGTATTTTTCTCTTAAAAACTAAACTTATAAGCCATCACATTTGTTAATCAGTCCCTAACCTAATTTTATCATAAATGCATATTTTGTTTCCAGGTAAAACGAAGGCCGATGCCTCGTTCATCTTCCCTTCTACAAATCTCTTTCCAAGTTACTAACAGTACTTTCCTTCTAGTATTTGAACTGCCCCAAAGGAATTTTTTACATTTCATGTCAATCTCATGGCATATGGAGGCAAGGAGTAAGGTAGATTCTATGGCATATGAAGGTGTGACAGACACAACCAAAGAGATTAAAGTGTGTTGAGTTGCTAAAGATAATGAATTAGCCTTCCAAAAATATAGCCTATTCTCCATTTTATCAAGGACATATTGGTAAGTATTTTTAGAGACCTTTTGTGATAAAGAGGGGCTCTAATAGATTTTCACAAGTATAATGTGTGCGTGAATCCCAAGAACTCAGCGATTTCTTACTTATGATGGTAATTGACATTATTAGAGAAAAGAATTTGAGATTTTTCATTGCTAACCTTTTCCCCATATGTAGCAAAAAAGTCATCCAAGCAAGCTTTAATGAGGCTTGCCTAGTCCATACTAGCTTCAGCATAAATAATTATATCGTCAACGAAGAATAAATGCAATAGCCACACCATTCTTACTAAGTCTAAATATGAGCCAATTACCCATGTTCACTTTATTTTGCTCTAGATAGGCAAGCTTTTCCATAACTAAAACAAAGAGATAAAGGAAAACAGGATCTTCTTGCCTTAATCCTCTCGAGGGATTAAACATATCTCCTTTACTACCATTATATAAGATTTGCATATTCGCTGAAGACTTGCAATGATAAACAAGATCAATAAAATTGTTTGGTAACCTGAACTTGCAAAGGCACCCAATCACAAAATTCCAGTTGACTTGATCATAAGTCTTTTCAAGATCAATTTTAAGGGCCATATACCTCTCTTTTTTTTCCGCGTTCGTATGGAGTAGATAATCTCTTGAGCTGAAATAACATTACCTGTACTTTGACGTCCATGAATGAAATTAAACCAGTTTGGAGCAATCATTAAAGGCAAAATACCCTTGAGCCTATTTGCAAGAATTTTGGTGACTACTTTATTAGTCACATTAACCACCCTCCTATTATGTCTCAATTGCATATACCTCTCTTCTATTTTGAAAACTCATATAAACCTCATTTACAAATAAAATACATATTGTATAAACTTTTATTGTATATTTTAGATTTCATTTGTACTCATTCAACTGTTAATTAACCATTAATTTTGACTTTTAAAGTTTTAATTTGGCTAAAATGCCCCACTTTAATAAAAATAATCTAAAAATCTATATTTGCCAATATACATACACACATGACTCGAAAATATAATAAATACAATTTTAAAATTTTTATTATATTGTAAAATTTATTATTTTTCTCATATTATAAAATCTTATACTTTTAATTTTTATCAAATTCATTGAAACTCAATTATTTATGTTTTTAAAATTGTTAAAAATATATTTCAAACATATATTTTTATCACCATATAACATAAAATGATATAAGCTTGAGGGATTATATAAATAATTTACATTTAAAATTGTAAATATTTTTTTCCAAAAAGTTTTTTAGAACATTCTTAACAGAATTAAGGGATTGGGCTAAATTGTATGTGTTCAAAATAAAAGAGCTCTATGTTTTAGGTAAGACAAAATAAAAGGGTAATAGAAGTATTTTATTCTATAATAAAAAAAAAATCTATACCCCATGTAATGAATAGAAGATATTATTCTTCTATTTAATTTGAGAAAAGTAGAGAGGGGAAGAAGAGATTTTTAAGTTTTATTTAAAAATCTGGCAAATAAAATTTTAATAGAGAAAGAACGGAGGAGGGAAAAAAAATAAAAATCAAGTAAAAGATTTCCACCATATTTCTTCATTTTTCAAAATCAAAATCATCAAAATATAAATAATATATTGAAATGATGACAAAAGAATTTAGGTAACTATCGTCATCCTTTTTAATTTGTTAACCACATGCATATTAAAAAATATTAGTAATAATGTGCAATTTAAATTTATTATCTCTTGCAATTAGAAATGTAAGAAATAACTTGTTTTATTCTATAATTTTTTTATTTCAATACATATTAAAAATATAAATAATATCTCATTTTATTCTATAATCTTTCACCTTGTTGAATTGAAAACTCAGTTTAAACAGTAATGCAAAGAAATATTTAGTGATTCACTGCCCATAAGAATTAAAAATTTCAACACCATATTGTAACTCAGAATTTATTACCCCATACATAATGTGTAAATATAACTTATAAATTATTTAAAAAATTTAAAAACTAAAAATGTAAAATAAAAAGATAAACTGAAAAAATAAGAATTTCATAAAATTGAAAAAAGACAAAGCTAAAAAGAAAAAATATTAAAAACAATTTTTTTGCCATTCATTTTTTGAAATAAATACTATGAATTTAATAATTTATGATTAAATTTTTTAAAAACAATAAAAATATTAAGTGTAATAGCTTTTTTTTACCGTATATATACGGTACAAATAATTTTTACTGAGCGTATACAGTAAAAAGCTATTATACTTTACTACAATGGATAGACAGATTTATATTTATAAACCCGTAAGCAATTTAAAACATTTAAATTTGAAATACATAAAACAGAACTTGACTGCATATTACTCTGACTTATAAATATAATATTATCTTTATTTTAAATTATAAGATATTTTTGAAAAAATTAATATCTTAAAATATAAAATATTTTAATAAAAATAAAATTTCATTAATAATAATTTTTTAAATATTACTCTTATCATATGTTTTTAAATTTTTTTGTAAACAGAGTATTATTTAAAAAGATATTTTTAAAAATTTATATTATTATAAAAAATTATGTGGTCTTAATTCAGTTATTAACGAATTTTAAAATAATTAATTTTTTTATGCATGGACTTTAAAGTAATTCTTTTTATTCTTATTTTAAAAATTAACATTATAAAGTATATTTAATTTAAAAATATTTTATCATTTACAACGGAAAGAACAGTTTTTTCTTAGATAATAACATGATAGCTTTAACCGCATGCTATTTATAAAGTATATATTTATTACATCAACTCCAATTTAGGTCAATCGCAATTCTTATCAATCACCCGCCATCAATCAATGAAGAAATAGGATCACACTCCGATTCGGTCACTCGTTTTTCCTTACCTCCTACACTAGCAAAGCCTCGTCTTTCGCTGTTCGTATTAATGCTTTCATCGTCATTACAGGAGTCCTATTCGACGATCCCAGTGCGATCGTAGTGGGCAGTTTAATAATCCTCTCGCTACTTTCCACTTTGCTTCTTTTTTTTTTTTTTTTAATTATTAAAAAAAAAACAGATAAACCACTATCTCTAAGAAAGAAGACTAGAGCTCGTCATTACTCTTTTGCTGTGAAAGTTACTTCAGTTTCTTCTTGCAAACCCTAAATTATTGATTTTCCTTCCCCACACACGTATATGAAAAATTGCACTGACGCAAACTAAAAATTTCGTTTTCAATACTTCCTCACCATTCAAGCCAGAAATGGGTGCGCCCAACTCTTACCTATTTCACCAAACCGGCGATGGATCCTAACCCACTTCACCGGCATTGCTTCAGATGGGAAAGGCCGAAGAAGAACAGCCTTTGCCTTCCAGTGTTGCCTCCAGTGATCCCGAGCAGAATGTGGAGGCAAGCTGTGGGTGTAGATGTTCAAAAATTCGGAAATTCATTGGCCTCAGATGTATTTTCGTCCTGCTGCTATCTGTTGCTGTCTTCCTCTCTGCTCTATTCTGGTTACCCCCATTTCTTCGGTACGCAGATCAGAAGGATCTGGGTTCCGATTCAAAATATAAAGGTAGGTTTTAGTCATTTATTCTCACTCTCATTTTTTGAGTCTGTCGGCAGCGGCATTTTTCTATGGGCATAGATCTGTTCCTTTTTCGGAGTTAATGGTTGTCTTTTCTTTCCGAAGTAAGGGGTCTATACGATTTGTGATATCTGTTTTGCTAGGTCATTAGAACTTTCATACGATCCAGGCAAAAAAAAAAAAAAAAAATGCAGAGGAAAAAGAAAACTATGTGATTGCAATTTATTCTTTATTTGACGTTGATTATGCATCAATGTGTTAATGGCGGGAAATGAATTTTAACAAGGATAGTTTACGTTGATTCGATTTGCTAAAACTGGGAAATGGAAGCAAGCTCCGTTCTAGTTTCTGATTGGACCTTGATGCATGAAAAGTCGCAGCGATTCCGTGATTTTATCCTTTATTTTTGAACTTTTTTGATAAACCAAAAATATAGTCGGAAACGAATTTGTTTGTCATGTCAAGTTATCTTAATTAGGAAATTGATTTTCTCATACCTATTTTTAGTATGGTGTGAGGGCTTTAATCATGCATTTGCATTTTAAGATTGGTTTTGATGCCACATTGAACGTTCTGAACTGGACCTCACATAGGCCGCAACTTTTTAACATTGTTTTCTCTATTTTGTGATTGTATTCTGGACAATTGGTCGCACTTATTGAAGGGGATGTCAACTCGAGGCAAGCGTTTTGCTTCTTTTGAAGCATTCAGATATTACCACTTCTATAATCATATGGTTTTCGACATGATTTTTTCTTTTGTTACATTATCAATACTAAAACAATTTTTTCTAGTTAGAGTCGTTATACTAAGTTTGTAACATCTAACACTGGCTAACAAGCTTGTGTGTGGTGCTGCGGTGATCACCCAATGTTAGGCTTTGTTTGGCAGATCGGATCTTATGTATTATCATATTATTTAAACCAGAAAGGTTGGAGTTATTTCAAAAACCTTTTTATTTTTGGGCCATGGTATTAAAAAGAAAACTTTGTTTGGGACTTTTCTTCTCTGAAATTTGGTATTTAGTGCTTCTATTAGGGAAGTAAAAAATTTATTAGCCATGTAAACCTCCATAAGCACTGCTGTGACACTAGACGGTCAAATGTTCTTGTTGCATTTTCATTTCTCACAAACGTCCTTCTCATCATGTAACCACCTTATGCAGCACGTTTTCACCAAGGCAATGTTTAAATTTCCACAAATATGTCTACCACTGTTGGAATAAATGAATAAGTTACAACCATTAGGTGATAAATTCAGGCTAATAAGTGGAGCTTAATGGGCAAAGGAAAGAGCTAGTAGAGTAAGATATAAATAGTGAAACTTTATAGCGGAAATGAGTAAGGTGGAAGCTTGTAGAGAAAACAATCTGAGAAGCAGAAAACGGAAATTTTTTGTTGGCAGTTCTATTTCCTAGTGCATAGTTGAGGCAGCATGAGATAGGGATTTCATCTAAAGATATTTCTTCTGACAACATACATTTTCATGGTATGCTTAAAAGATGAACTTTAGACTTTCCTCTTTAATTATTAATTTGTTCTTCCTTACTCTGACATACGTAACTCTTGTCTCTTCTATGCTATTAATGCATGCTTGTTCTTTGTTAATGGTTTTCTTAAACAATATTTGATGCAATTTGTCAACCTTGTTTTAGGTTTGTTTTTCTTTGGGAGGCAATTACTTCTTATCCATCTTATAATTTATCTTTACAATTTATAGTCATTTCCTTGTCCACATTCAGAAATGAGCAATGACATATTTAACTGGAATGAGCCTGAGCGTGTCAACTTACTTACATGCTCATGCTTGGCTACCTACAACATTCATCTTAACATGTGTAATAAATCCATGCTGATGCAGATTGAGGCTTATTTTTATTAGCAATGTTAATTAGGGTTTTTGATTTGGAGATTTTATCCTTGTTTGCTCAAGGAAATGCAGTGCTTAATTATTTCTTGTCTGCATCTGATTTTATTTCTTAAGAAACGCTTTTACAGCAGGCTATTAATATGCCCCTGTCTTAACTTTGGACTTTTTGCTTTATTAGTGACAATAAGGATATCTGAGTTTGCTGTTATGTTCCTGACTTCTTGTCTTACATCACCTGAGTTATTCCTTTTCCAAGTTGATTAAATATTTTTGAGCTGTTTAACAATCGTTACACATCTGATATTACTTCATTGTCTAATACATTGTTTCGAATGATCAAGAATGCAAATGTGTGAGAGGAGGCATGTGTGCCTACTATTTGATATGCTTGGGTCATGCTACCTTTCATGTCAGCCATGGGTATTGACTTTCAGTTTTGTGAACCAAGAACCTGACATTGTCCTATTCATATAACTGTGCTCCTCAATACTCACTCCAAGTGCTTTAATATGATATGTGATTGTGTGGCACTGGATGTATATTATTAGGCGTGACTATATGATCTTCTCACTCAATGATCTTGTTTACTTTTGCAGGTCATGATATTGTTGCGTGTTTTATTGTTAAGAAGCCAGTCTCTCTGCTGCAAGACAACATTTCACAGCTTGCGAATGACATTTTTGATGAGATATTAGTTCCCTCTACCAAAGTATCTCTCTCTTAATAATTTCCTTCTAACTTTCATCTATATCTTGTTTTTTGACATATTGATTCCTTCCTCCTTTTTGGAACAGGTGGTTATATTGTCTCTTGATCCCCTGTCTGGCTTAAACATGACCAAAGTGGAGTTTGCTGTTGATCCTGATAATAAATACTCTGGAATGTCTTCAGCTTCTGCTAGTTTGATAAGATCATCTTTTGAATCTCTGATTTCAGGCCAATCAGTTCTCAGGCTGACTTCGTCCTTGTTTGGAAATCCCTTATCTTTTGAAGTGCTAAAATTGAAGGGAGGAATTACTATAATTCCTAAACAGCATGCATTTCTTCTGCAGAGGCCACAAACTCTATTCAACTTTACTTTGAATTCCTCTATTCGTGAAATACAGTCAAATTTCAATCAACTGACAAGTGAACTGGAGTCTGGACTACATCTGGCATCGTATGAGGTCTTTTATTCTTGTCTTTTACTTCCTTCCCCTTCTTTTTTTATCCAATGTACTTGAGGTCATCTCTAACTCTGAAGCTATGATTATGTGTCAATGCCACCACAAAGTTCATATTTGACCTGTACTAAAATCTGGTATGGGAATCGGTGTGTTGGTTACAAGCGAGTCATGTATACAGAAAGAATAATATATCATGAAAATACAAGCTAGCTAGTATTTAAGTTTCTTTGATGAAGTTTTGCTAAATTGTGTAATTGGACCTTTGATGTATGGAGATGTTCCCTTATCTCGTGTAAAGAATCAGATGACTTGCTAATCATAGACTTTTAGCTTCGATGGACCATGTTGATTCTAATCGCAATTTTTTAATTGGAATGCAGAACTTGTATGTCATCTTATCGAATTCTGAAGGTTCAACAGTGGCTGCTCCTACTATTGTTCAATCATCTGTTTTATTTGCAGTTGGGAATGGGGATACTCCATCAAGGGAGAGATTAAAGCAACTGGCAAAAACCATCACAGGATCTCATTCAAGGAACCTTGGCTTGAACAACACTGAATTTGGTAGGGTTAAGCAGGTTCGGCTTTCATCTATCCTGCAACACTCCCTTAATGGTAGTGATGGCAATGGCACTTCTAGGTCACCAGCTCCTGTTCCTCTGCCTCATCCACACCACCACCACCACCACCACCACCACCATCACCACCACACTACCACCACCACCACCACCACCGCCGCCACAATGCCCATCTTGTTCCGGCAACTTCACCTACACCAGCACCTGAAAGTGGGAAACAAGCAACTCCACCTGAAGTTGGTTCTCCTGCAGCTGCAAAAAATGTGCCTCCAGAAGGGAGTAGTTCTCAAGCTGAGCCTCCTGTTTGTCAATTTGGGCATAGAAAGAGGTCTTCCCAAAATGCTGGAAAGCATCCTCATTTGACACCTGCGGTTGCACCTAACATTGCTAAACACTATCCCGTTGCCTCACCAAAAAAACAAGTTGAACCACCAGGACTTGTTTCTCGTTCAGTACCTGTATTAAGTCCTTTGCCAAATGTAGCTTTTGCGCATGCTGAGGCCCCCCCTAAGACTGAAGCAGCTAGAGAACGTTCTAGCACACATTCTCATGAGCCATTGCCATCTCCATGTGAGTATGCTTGATGATCTATTCATATTGAACCTGACATGTTCGTTTTGAATTAGAGGCAGTCCTTTTCTGAGAATTGTTTGTATGCCTTGATTTTATATTATTCTTCCCTCATTGAGAAGGAAAAGATAATCTGAATGGGCACTAGGTCTACCTATATTTAGAGCATAGGGAGGAGTTGGAGTTTCACTCCTTTTTACTTCCTTCACATAATAATGATCTTTAATGCAGGATATATGCCTCTAAAGGAAAATTCCCAATATCAAATCACAATTTGCATTTCCCTTCCCCCCTTCATTGCTATGCCAGTGTTTCTTGTAATTTAGATGCATGCAGCAATTCCTTTGCTCATCTGTTCTCCCTGTTTCCGAGATTGATAAATCTTCTAGGTTCTCTTTAGCTTTCGGAATTTGAGGTTCTTATTTTGTGTCAGTCCATGCTTTTATGCGCTGCATTGTGATTATACATCTGATAATAATGTCATGTGTTTTGCAGCTTCTGCAGCTACACATGGGACTGAGAAATGGACAACTTTAATATTAGTAGTACTTTGTGTTACATGTATAACAAATGACTGAACTGTATTATTCGGACAGACAAACTAGAGTACTAAGAAAGTGAGCTACGCGAAAGGGCGAGCATCACATCCGAGTGGATATAAGTTGTCATTATGTATGTAAATAGTTGATTGAAGAGGTCCAGACGAGACGATGCATGCATTTTGAGGTCAAAGACCAAATGGCAGGCCCTAATGACATGCATTGCCCCCTGTATTGTGTACCCTATAACGCAGAGGGGATAACACGAAAGGAAGAAGGAAGCAACCGAATTAGCCTTGTGTCTCTCACCCTGTTATCCTCTCCTAATTCCATCTGTATGCTTCTCTCTACGGGTGAAAGGGGGGAAAAAAATGACAGTTGGGTAGATAAATATGTTGGCCGAACTTGACCAGAATGGTCATTTTCTAGAGGCAACGGAATGCATTTTTGTCGTTGTGATGTTAATGCTTGCTTTCTTATCTCTCCCAGTTCTTGGACAATGTGAACAGAGTATATAAATAATTGCTTCACTGAAATATCTCAACTTTGTTGGCTTAAATTCTTTTTATTTTTTATTTTTCGGGTGGATGGCTTAAATTCTTTTTAATAGTTGTAAACTAGTATGGCAAATTATAGATTACTTCAGATTAAGTTGTTACAATAGGATCGGGATATGAACTTTCAATTACTTGTCACTTGTTTAAGTGATGAGGATTTTCACTAGTGTGAATCTAAGTTCGACGTGCGATATACATGTGTTTTTGATATTTCTCAACATGTGATATTTTATTAAGGGTGTGTTTGCTTTTGGAGGGAGGTTGGTTTGGACTGTTTCAGTTAAGAAATTTTGGAGGAGAGGGGAACACCCCCTCCTCTCATATTGATTCCCTCTAAATTGGATTTCTTAAAAAAGAGTTAAATTTTTTGACCAATTTGCCCTCAAACATTTTGTTTATATTCCATATTTATCCATTGATTGAAAAAAAAAAATTAAAAAAGATTGACGTTCGCATTATTATCCAAAACTCTCTCTCTTTGGTGCTTATTGTCACTCTTGTTGCTTGGAAGTGACCTCATCTCATTTTAGATATTATTTCATTCATTAAAAAATATAAAATATTTTAAATTACATTTAATCCTTAATAAAGTAGTCGCCTACTTTTTAATTAACCTTATTTTTTTATATTTATTCTTATTAAATACCCTACAATAAATATAAAATCATTATTAATAGGAGCATTTAAAAAAAAAGATAATAATTACACCTCGAAAGACTAAAAATACCTTATATTTTTTAACATTTAATTTCTCAAAAGATACTTTACATTTTTGAACAGAGAGAGTGACAAAGTAATTTATTTATTTTTTATAAAAAATATTATCATTATAATTGGTTTAATATCATTATACAAATTTAGAATATGATAGGATGAGACATGAGTGTAAATTTTCATAATCGATTCAAGGTGTAAAATTATTTTATATTCAAACCAATTAAAAAAATTAAATTAATATATAAGGATATAATAATAAATTAATTGTTATTTCTCTTCTCTTTTCCTTCCAAACCAAATAATAAGTAATTAAAAATCCCTTGCCTCCCCTCACTTTCAATAAAACCAAATTATGTTACATTGAAACCCTCCCCTCCTTTGAACCAAATATGCCTGTTAAATTGCATGTATTTTGTTGCATGTTTTTTATTTATATTTATGTGAATTAGTTTCCTATTTTTCGAGACTAATCAATTTGTTAATTAGTGAATAATTCAATTGTGATTTAGAATATGAGTAGCGGTTTTCTTTTAATTTTTTTAATCTTAAAGATTACATATATTTATATAAGTGAATCTTGGCAATAAAATTAGCACTCCGTTTAATTATTGGTAAAGGAAAAAAAAAAAGATGGAAAATGGATGAGAAAATGCAACAGGACTCAAACGAAGAACGACGCTGCCAAAAACGACGAGCATATGCGACGCGGGCTAACAAACCAGTGCTGGATGTGCACGTTTCGCACTATGATTGGGTAAAAAGCTCGGGATCGTTATGACAATCAGGTAATGAAAGCACAGAGAAGACGGGGGCAAGGGAGGGGAATGCGCGCCAAAAATAGAAATGGGATTTTGGGGAGGGAAGCACGAGGCATAAGAGGAGAGAGGTGGAGGGTTTGTGCTCACGGGCTGGAGATAACAACGTTGGGAGTGGGAGGGGAGTTGTATTTCGTATCACTCCGGCGCCGGACTGCTTCTCTGGCGCTCCCTTTTGCTTCTCGTCTCCCTGCTGGCCTTCGCCGTGTTCAGGGTTTGCCGCCTTCTCTTCTCTTTGCAATGGCTAATTTCAGTGTCCCAAATACAAGAGGAAAATATTTGATGTTTCGTAATCGTTCCGGATAAATCTAAAAAGCAATAAAAACTGTCATTCGGCTTTCCCTTATCTGAGCAATTCTATTTATTAGCATGTAACTTGGAACTGCGAATTATCGAAGAACGGTGAAAGCCTTCCGCATTATTTATTTATTAGATGCGTGGGAAAATCGAAATTTTCAGTATCGTGGTTTTTAACTGTTGTTATTGCGATATTATGTAACCTCTGTTCCACAAAATTTGTGGCTATGTACGGAGGGGCAAGGGGCAGGGAGCAACTTCTCTGTAGTCGGGGTCTATGCGTTCTCTTGCTTCCATGTTTCATCATTAATCCTATATTTATATATATAGACATGAGACATGATTTGTTCTATTTTTATTTTAACTATCATCTGATTCACATTTCACTGCTGTCGAATCTGCAGGTGTTACATGGGATTCCAGTAAAACGTGCAGTTAGCCTTCTTTGCTGTTTGGCTTCCAAAGTAGTGTGGACAGCATTCACGGTAGGAAATTGGCCGCATTTAGCGAGTCTCCATTTTCTTGTGATAAAAGGAGAAACATTCCAACTATTTTCCTTTATGACATGTTATCAAAACAATTTATGATGGGTTGATTTGGCCGCTGGTCAGAATAAGTCATCTTTTTATACTTATTTGAATCCTAACGCCCTTTTCTCTTGATTCCTTCATCTTGCGGTGGCATGGGTTCTCTTCTCATTGTTAACATCATTGGACTATCTTTTGTCAGACGCATGGTAAACTCCCAGTGAAACTGATTTGTTGGATCATATAAATCAATTCTAAATACTTGTCCATGTCTATGCCTAATAATTTGAATAGCAGCGTGTAAGGCTTTCGAGGAGTTGATCTTCGCGTCTATTTTATACCATAGACGATCTTCGAGTCTTTTTTATACCATAGACTTAATCCTTTAGAGTTTTGAGTTATTCCTTTTTATTTAAAATAATTATAAAATTAAAAATAAAAAAATTAATTTTGATGTTCATTGTCTCAAGATACTGGTATTTTCTTGCTTTCGTTTTGGTGACTAAAGGAGAACAGAACAGACTAGTCTATTCAGGAACATGACATGACTGGTTCTCAAAAGTGATGGCTGATAACGCACTAGAATGTTGCTTTCTTTCATCTATTTTCCGAGACAATCATGTTGGTCAGCACATCCTAGAAGCATGTTTTACATTTGTGCTTGTTTTGAATTTGCAGATGTCGTCGCCCCAAGAAAACTGATCTTCAGAGAATTTTGTGAGAAGAACTTCACTTGGAATGCACTGCTGCCATTTCCATCTGAATGAGAATGTTGGGAATGGCTGCAGCCATTGATCATCATCATGGATTCAAGCCATTTAGTCAATCCTATGGATGCATGCTTCAACGCTGCGGTCCCCATGATCACAACATGCTAGAATTTAGCCAAATTAGCCATGCTTTTAAACCAGCATTTGAAGCAGATAACATCCACCGCAGTTCCTCCACTCCATGTCTCCCCCTAACCACTTCAACGGAGGAAGAGCTTGGTTCTAATCCAAGGATTGCGATGGTTGGTGGATGTGGAGCTCCTTCACATGCTCTTGTTGTCGAGGTTGCCATAGCTATGGCCTCTGGTGTTTGTCTCAACCACTGTCAAAGGGGCTAGGTGATGCCTATGTTTTCCGCAGCCAAAATGGTGATGACATTGCTGTGGCAAAGCCATCCGATGAAGAACTTTTAGCCTTCAGTAAACCAAAGGGCTTGGGTGGTCGAATGCTGGGCCAACCTGGATTGAAAGGCTCAATTCGGGTGGGTGAAAGTGGCATACGCGAATTGGCTGCTTATCTCCTTGACTATGAAGGCTTCGCTGGAGTGCCTCCGTCAGCTTTGGTAAAATTCTTCAATGCTCCCTTTTTTGTTAATGATGCAGCTGAAGTTCCTCCCACACAATGTAAAATTGCTTCTCTCCATCGCTTTGTTGATCATGAATTTGACGCAGGAGAGTTGGGTCCTTCTTTCTACTCAGTTGCTTCAGTTCACCGGATTGGGATTTTAGACATTAGACTTCTAAATCTTGACAGGCATGCAGGAAATATGCTTGTAAAGAAAAATAACCGCAAGGGCAATGGAGTTGCTGAGCTTGTTCCGATAGACCATGGACTTTGCCTGCCTGAATGGATGGACGATCCATATTTTGAGTGGCTGCATTGGCCACAAGCCTCCATTCCTTTCTCAGAGTCCGAGCTTGAGTACGTGTACAAACTCGATCCGTTTAGAGATGCAGAACTGTTAAGAACCGAGCTTCCTTTGTTGAGGGAGTCCTCTATACGGGTTCTTCTGGTTTGCACCGTCTTCTTAAAGCAAGCTGTTGCTGCTGGACTTTGTCTTGCTGATATAGGTCAAATGATGACTAGAGAATTTTGTCGTGGAGAAGAAACAACGAGTGAGATAGAAAATATTTGTTGGCGAGTCATGTCTAACATCCCTTATGTTTGCAACGATGGGAAAAGAAAAGAAGAAACTGAAAGCGAGTTCAAAGTATTCCAATTTGACAATCAAATTCAAGATGGATCCAATGAAGGGTTGGGACTTCCTCAATTCTTGCAGATCCATCATGGAGTGCCTCAGGTGCCCAAAATGCCGAAGTTTTCATTTGCGGGATCAATGAATGGATTGACAGTACTGCCTCCATTGAACGACACAAACGATAATTATACTACAAATGTTGATACAGGAAAAACTAATGAGAACGCTGAGAGTTACACTGAGTGGGGTAGAGAAAGGAGTTTGAGTTTCTCTTCGTGGAGCCACAATTGTGAAAGTAGAGGCCTTTCCTTTGCAGGCCTGAACCTAAGCGAGTGGGAGTTGTTTCTGGATATTTTTGTGAAGCTTTTGCCTAGAGTATTTGAGGCTAAGAAGAGCAAAAAATGAACCAAAAGTTGGAACATCATGGAAGTTTAGGAATGTTTCCTAAGCCAGGGATGAATCACCGTCGCTTGTAGTTGTACATTGGTGCCTGAGAGACATTAATTTTGGTCATATATATGTATGTATGCTCGAGTTCTATATCACGCAATAGTGGAATAGCGATTGGTCAGGCTGAGAGGGCCAATGCCATCCTTTCCATTTTCATCTAAGCAGTCAATTTAGTATTGTAAACGAATGCTTATGGAATTGGCTGCTACATTGTTTTGTAAATAATTT